TTCATGTCATTAGTACCTCTAGTAATATATTTACTGAGAAAAATGGTGATGTGTTCAATACTTATTTTACCTGCTGTATACTGTATATTTATCTAAATACTCAAAATGCACAAAGGTAATGCAACACATTAAAATTTGAAGTCTTGGTAAGGAGGCATGTATCAGTTTTTGAAACTGAATAGAGGACAAGTGTTAATAATACAGATACAGTAGTGTATAATGAGGACAGCTGCTCAGATCCCTGTGTGTTTGTGTGTGTAAAAGTGTGCAGGTGAATGGCTTGATTGCATTTGATCTGATCAACTTTTAATAACTCACGGAGCTAGAACATTCTAATTATCCATCTGTTTGTCAGTTCCTGGAGCTGTCGACCGAGTACACCTTCACTTGCTCCAAGCAACAAGATATTATTAGAAATTAAAGGTTTTCAGAGAACAGAGAGACTCAAGAAGAGAACACATATTTTTAATCAGCTCTTACATTATGCGCCAAAAAAGCTCTGGCTGTCGATGTTTCTGCAGTGTTTGTGATGTGATCAAAGMAACAAACAACATTTGCAATGACAGATAAAAAATGCATTTGTTATGTATAGTGAAATATCAGCTCTGCAAAGAAGAGCAGCTAAATTATTACTAAACCGATGTTTAGTTACCCATTTTGGTCACTAAGTTTTGTTTCTGCATCTTATAATTCAGTTATTTAGTTTTGTTACTTGTGGTGTTTATCTGATCCAAGTTATATTCTACATCTTCAATCAGTTTCTGTAAGTTTAGATCCTGGTCAGTTTTGTGTTCTCTTCCTTTGTGTAGATCCTGCTCCTAAGTTATGCCATGCCCACTCACAACCGAGAACTGTTTCGGTTGTCTTTTACCAGAGACCTGCTCAGTTTGTGTCTGAAGTCAGTGGAGAATTACACATTTTACATTTCAYTCTGTCTGTTTACTTTCTGATCCTCTTCATGCCATCCTGTGTTTCTCTAAGTTCTGTAAGTTTTTGCCACCATGTCAGCTTTTGTTTTTGTTTCAATAAGTATAGTTTGTTTTACTGGAGCTCCTTGAGYACATCTGCATTCCTGAGTCCAATGCTTCCTGCCAGCATGACAGCTACAGCTTTATGGAAATTAGTTTGTATCTTTACTATAAACACAGACAGAATGAAATACAAATGCTTTTCCAAAATTTCAGATAAATTTGCTCACAGAAATTTACTAATTTACAAATTACTTTAACTAACCTACCTCTACAATTTCTGTCATACTCAGAATTCACTTCAGAGCTTGATTCAGGGCTGTAATATAGAAGAACTAAGTATGACAAATCAAAAAACACTCAAGCCTTGACCTCCAAGTTCTCAAATCAAAACTGAGTTTAACATTGGATAAAACCAATAAACTGAAAGTAAGAGCAACACATATTTAATGTTCAGAACAAACTAAAAACTTAGCAAGGAGGATGCACTTTTCTGATTTTTACATTTCATCATTACTTAGTTTGACCAATAAATGCATGGTGCAGTCCTCAGTGCTACATTAGATTTTTATTTTAGAAATGGGTTTCTTAGAGGTTAGATAATAAACAGTGTTTGACTTTAGAATTTTACTAAAAATAAATAATTTACCATACTAAATTTTATTAGAAAAAAAAGTTTAAATTACCATAAACTTAAAATTATTGTTTCCAAACAACTAAAATAATGCAAAACTATTACCCTAAATAGAAAATAAACTGCTCATTTACATGCACGTAATATCAAATGTACCCCATTCGTATATTATGAGCAACAACTGATTGGATTTTAGGAATAACAATGTTTGATTTTTGCAAAAATAAAAAAGACAATAAAAAAGTATATTGTTGCTTTAGTTCGGCTATTTGATGGGTTTGAGGGATTAAAACCATGAAGGATTGCAGCTAATAAATCAAAAGACTACAGTTTATTAAAAAAATACATAATTTTTTTTATAAATGGGTAATGCTGTTGAATTTGTGAATCAAATAACAAAGTTAGAAAAAAAACTGTGAGAAACATAAAAAGTATGAATAATTGGCCTTTGAACAGTTGCTTCTTTTATTATGTAAATGAACACAACTAGTAAACACATTTTCATTTGTTCCAAAGCACTTACAAATACCCTTCCTCTATCAAATGAATCAACCTGTTCTATGACGAGTGACCGCTAACATGACATGGTGGGCCGAGGAGAGTCCCACTGGAACCCAAAGTCCACTGGTATATTACACATCCACTGTGAACAAGTGTGATCTAAAACAAGTTATTGTATCTCATTCTACCTTGTAGGTGCGGCCAGTTTTGATGAAGTTTTTCTCAAGAATGTGGTCAAGAGCAGGATCCAGTTCCTCCTCTACATCCTCAATCAGTAGGGGGCGACCAAGAGACAAACTGTCCTCGAGGTGATTCCTGAAGTACTTATGGTTCAGTGAGGTAATCTGAGATAAAAATAAATAAATAAATAAATAAATAAATAAAGTTGCAATATTGCTCCTTTAATGATTGAAATTAGAATTATACATTTTATTCCAACAACTGACATCTAAACAATGAGGAAATATCTTGTCAATCGATGTTTAGGAATTCCACATCAATATTTTTAGACATCGTTATTTTGTAAAAAGGAATAGATGTTGAATGCAGAAAGGGTTGCAATCTGAAGCTTAAGTCATGTGACTTCAGGACAGTCATAATTTGTTTGCAGAATGCACTCAGCTCAGAAATTGTCACTAACAGGGGCAGTGACCTTGGCTGAGCTCACAACCCCTGCAGATGTACTTTTGTCCAATGTGCTGTCCATGCTGGCAATCAAAAGAGCCAGGAACAAACAAGATGCTGTACAAATGTAAAATCTGGGATTTTGCAGTCTCAATCACACAAGGTCATGTCGACAACAAAACTGAAGAGAAGTTAGGTTGTAAAATTAAAAATTCCATACATGAAAAGCTGTATAATTACAAATCTATTACATATTGCAAAAATAAAAACACCCAGAAGAAAAAAAGACTCAAACCTGCAACTCATTCCGAGCTTCTCTGTTCATGATCCAAATTTTTCCTTGTGTCTGTGGGTCAATAAGGAGAGGGAAGCGAGGAGCTTTGGTCACAATGATGCCATTCTGAATAGACAAGTCATCATTGGGAAGTCCCTGTAAAATATATGATAAAATATTGATGCTCAGTAAGAAGGCGTTGTTTAAAATTTGACAGCTGTTTTATGCAATGACAAAACAAGTATTATTCCAAGATTTAAAATTCATTCTCTGACCAATATTTCATTCCAGGAGTGTCATATATATTTTAAATAAACTCATTTCTTTTGCAGTTCAGTAGCACAACAAAAGTGAGAATTGTGTTTCTTCTGAAACACAGCTGTATATGCATTATTGACACAAAAGTGGACTCATTTCTGGTTCAGGCTGGACTAGCCCTTGTCTCCAATCCTGTTTGTGTTCATGAACAAGACTTTGGGAACCTCGTGGTTTCATCTCTGCACTTTGCAGAAGATGTTAACATGAGCATAGATCTTCAGCATTCACAGGCATGGTTCACAGCTGRAGAGACCAGAAGGAGAGTTAGCTCCTCTAATTTTGAGTCCATGGTTGCTAACAAGGTGGAATGTTTCCTTCAGGTTAGAAATGAGTCATTCCCTCAGGTGAAAGAGTTAAGGGGTTCAAGTATCTGGGAGTCTACGAGTAATGAAAAACTGGAGCATGAGATGAGTTAAGGGATCAGAGCTTTGTCTTCATTGGTCTGGTCAGTCATGGTAAATACAAAACTAAGCTGAGATAGAGAACAAGTTAAGAAAGACAAAGTTAGTGATTTATCGATTTATCTAACTTTCACATCTGACCATACATTGTAACCCAATCCCTGACACAAGTGGCTGAAAGTGCTTCCTTTATAAAGTATTTGAGCTTAACTGCATCTTTGCATTGTACTGCTGCGTTCACACCAAATGCATTTAGAGCATCGGGGACATTGGGTTTCCATGCAAAGTAAAATAATGCTGAAGATGAGAGAGCAAGGCGACAGAGGAGAGTAAGCTAATGGTAGCTAATGTTAGCTTGTTGTTATTTAGAAGCTTGCTATAATTTTTATGCATTTGAACTCAGGTAAAAAAAAAAATCAGGTCAAATCAGGCAAAGCAGCCCAGCACAAATAGAATCACAGGTAGTGAAGTGATATACTGATACCAACACCAGTATCATATCAGGCCTGATACCAGCATTTTTAAAGCTACTTGTAGAACAAGGGGCTGGTTTTTCCAGGCTATCTCTTTGGTAGTGATTAGTAAGGATAGCTCACTGACCTGGAGGTTCCATTCACTAACAGTGTTTGCATCAATGAGAAACTCAGTCAGATTAAGGTTGTTGCCAAATGGGATGCATCGCTGCTTTAGCTCTCGCTGCCAGTCACTCAGCAGAAGRTTTCGAAACTCCTGATTAAAGGGGCCAGAATATGAGAGGAATGCTGTGGCCAGGAGAACATCCCCTAAAAATAGAACCAAGGTGTTATTAGATGTGCAAATAGTTGTTTTTTTTTTTTTTTCAAAAGTGGCAAAAACTCTTTTGGATAAAGAGTACAGATGGTTTCCGAAATAATGCGTAGGTTAGAAAATATTTTGCAACCTGCAGTGACACCCACCTACAAGGCGTTTGGTTTGAGCAGCAAACTCTTTGCTYTGCTCTGTCCATCTCTCCTTCTCACCAGCAAGGCCGCTGATGAGACTGGATGCAGTCTGCATCTTGTGTCTGCAACGCTGAGCGTTCTCCAGTAGCATCTGAACATAAACGGGCCAACAAACAGATTAGTTTGTTCATGTTTATGCACTGCGGTCTGTCCATCATACTGTTTCTTTATTCATCCACCTCTTATTTTTGTTTATTCTTGGTACAGCAGTGTGCATTCATAAATAACCTAAATTATGCATACATAGACAGGGAGTGCCTGCAAATGCAATCAGTTCATTTGTGGTTTAGTAACAACTCTAATTTCAACTAATCACAGCTGTCTGAACATTGCCTGACTGTATGTTTAAACACAGTGAGAGGCATCTGTGAGCAATGCATTTTGGGATAGGAAGGCACATGCAGTTTTCTTTACATGTGTTATCACAGTAAAAGGAGTTCTGAGAATAACATTGCTCTCAGAAACCTGCATCCTCACAAACCAGTTTGTTGCAGACATTTAAAAAGTATCCCTTAAGTCACACTGAGTCATTCTGTTTATTCATCCCAGATCTTTTAAGCTGAATTTCAAAAGCAAATTTTACACAATTCAGTTTATAGGCTTACTTTTTACAATGGATTTTAAGAACTGTAAGGAAACAAAATTCTACGAAACAAATATATTTGGAATGTTAAAAAAGCAACACCATGTTAGAACTCAAACTACTAACTAACCAACTTTTCTTTGTTTGTAATGTCCTAAAGCACAGCATGCATGCTGGTGGCAGTTCTCAGTTATTCAGGACACAGTGATCCTAAAAACTTGAACTGAATGGATTTATTTTTGAAGACATTTTGTTTCTCACCTGAAAAGTTTTCTCATTTCAAATTAATTGGTGCAGAGGGAACTATTATGTTCACATCTTTAAAAATTAACTGTTCTGTCAGTAGTTGAGATTGTTTCGATGTTTTCTTTATTACACAGTTACCCCTAATTTACATTACTTGTGTTCTGTCTCCGCTCTGCTGCGCAGGTCGCAGCTGTGCATTTATATATATATATATATATA